AAGCTGGGACACCAGAGGCTCTTCCTATCACCTAGTGAGAATGGGGCTATCCCTCCCCTCTCTCACAAAGCCACGGAAAGCCAACCCAAGCTGACAGGACTTTCATGAGACACTAAGACAAAATAGGCTGACAGATGTCAGGGAGGGAAATCAGGTCATGAGAAGGGTAAGGGCAGTGGTGACAGCCAAGGAGACTCTCTGTGACATGTTTTTGAGGCTGTGGGTACAAACCTTTAGCCCTCTGACTGTTTCTTTTGGAAGCTTTCTGATTCAAAATAAACTAGAGGTGAGCTAAAGGTGTAGCCGAGCCTGGAAGGACTGGTCCCTGGCATGTGTGAAGCCCTGCCTTTGAGACCTAGCACTGGAAACGTAAATAAAAACAAAAACAAACCACAGGGAGGGAAGTGAAAGCAGTGTGGTGACAAACACCTGTGATCCCAGCACTTTGAGGCCAGCCTGGTCCACATAGTGAGTTCCAAGCCAACCAGAGTTACATAATAAGAGGATGCGTTCAAGCAAGGTCAGCCTGAGCTATACAGTAAGGAATATTCCCTGTCTCAAAGGAAAACACAGACAAAGTCAAATTCTCAGATGAACAAGCTGGCTAAGATCTAAGGGAAGGCCTTGAAGCAGCACAGAATTCTTCCTGTCCACATCTCAAGGCCAGCTTTGTGTTGCTTCTCCACGGGACAGTGGCCCCTCCTCCCTCCAGAGGCGCTGTCGAGGTCCTACCAGGTACCAGGAACACAGGACAGACGCTGGGGAGCAAAGCTCTCGCTGTTCAGACACGGGCATCTGACCCCAGCACCCATGAAAAGCTGTGAGCTCTGGGCTCAGGGACAGACCCTGCCTCCATGAGCAGACAGTGGAGCTGGCAGTGGTTGCACACACCGTTGATCCCAGCACTCAGAGGCAGGAGGACTCCAGTGAGTTCAAGGCCAGCCTGGTCTACAGAGCAAGTTCCGGGATGGTCAAGGCTACACAGAGAAACCCTGTTTGGGGGTTGGGAGGAGAATGGAGATTACCCGAAGAAGAATCCTGGCACATGCACACATGTCCATAAATGAGAATACACACATGTACACATGTAACAGGGGTCCATCTTCACATGTACACGCCTATAAACATGAGAGCGTGTACATGCACACACATAAAGGGAGGGGATCCGTCTTCATCTTCAGAGCCGGGCTGAACTCTAGCAGGGGCCATGGAGATTTCCATCTTCATAGTCCTCATACCACCCACACCCAGCATGTAGCAAGCCCTCAACCGTTCACAAGAGCCTCTGAGAGGTTCACTGAATTGTGGCAGGCCTCTGCCTCCCTGGCTTGCAGTTTTCCTTGCCTCCCAGCCCTTCCACCTGCCCAGTCATCTATCTCCCTTCCGTGCCAGCCTCTCTGTCTTCTCCTCTGAGGTGTAGGATACAGCCTATTCTGGGCCCCCCCACACACGCACACAGCAGCTCACCCTCTGTTACCCTCTAGGCTTGCACCTTAAGTTTAGGGACACCTCCCACCTGGGCACAACCAGATCCCCACTACTCGTCCCGTCTTATGCCTTCCACCACCCTGCTTCATGGAGTCTGTAGGTAAAGACTTGTTCGCTGGGAACCCTACTCTAGCACCTCAGTAGTGTTTATTACACCGGGCACGGCAGGTCAGGCCTTTCATCCTAGCCTACATAGTGAGGGCTACACAGTAACTCTGTCCCAAAAGTAAACAAGCAAAAATGATGTTTACTGAATGTATGAGTTAAATAAGAAAAACAATATTCACAAAATAGCCCTAGCCCATGCTGCCCCTGTCATAATCCACCAGAGTGCTAGGATGTGTCGGCACACACCATCAGCCCCAGAACTCAGGAGGCAGAGGCAGGTGGATGGACCAGCCCAGTCGACACGGAGAATTCCAAACCAGCCAGAGTTATATGATGAAATCCTGTCTCTGAAACAAAACAACCCCAAATCCACCAAAGAACAACAAAGAAAATGAAGGAAGAGGCCAGTCAGGTGAGTGACGATGGTAGCCAAAGGACTCAGTTTGGAAAAGCCCCTCTCTTCCCAGATTAGACATCCAATTGTCCACACCAGGAGAACACAAGAGGCCTCTAGTTACCAGATGAGTACTGCACAAAACTCATGAAATGCCCAGACCCGGCTCCCAAGCCCTAGCCCCTGCCCATGTGATCTGCTCAAAGACACATCACCAAACTGGAACCCAATACCATGACTGTAGCCAGGTTCTGCCTACAGTCCCAGCACAGTTCTGAAAACCTTTCAACAGGTTCAGGCAAATTTCCTTTAGTGAACAAACTCATGCCATCAATCTTAAAGACAATAAACAGCGGAGACCCTGTTGGGTCTCAATCAGCTGTATGCAGTCAGCTCTTTAAACGTCTAGAGCAGTGAAGACAGCCGTCCGCCAAGGTTGACAATGTTGGGGTGCAGAGCAAACCTTGACCCTTACTTTGCCAGGCACTCCCAGTCGAGGAAGCACACAAGTTTCTGGCCCCAAAAGACAACAGGTTACCCAGACTCCAAGAAGCAAGGAGGCTAGAGAGATAAGTTGTGTGGATTCAGCAGGCTTTCCCGAGGAGGATGCTAGGTCAGCGGGTTTGCCAGATAATCAGAAAACCTCCATCAGCCACAGGAGCAAAGGCATGGGATAAGAAGTTGATGTTCAACCCACGAGCCTGACCCTTCCCCTTCACTTTTGTTTGTAGGAGTGACCTGTCAAGCCTCTCAAGGGCTTAAATACCAACTCAGCACTGTGCTAGCACAATCCCTGGACTCCTCTTACCCAACGGAAGGAAGAAAAGCTTTCCTTGGGAAAGCAGGTTCCAGCCCCACGGTGCCCAAGCCATTCAAGAAATTGTTAAGCGGACAAGCTGACATCACCAGCACCATGAGTCAAAAAAAAAAAAAAAAAGGGAAAGAAAAGAAATCTGACCACAGCAGTCCTCTGATCGGGATGAGGTACTAATAGTTTTGTCTGGGGTTAATAATGTTTTTTTCTTTCTTTCTGTGCTTTAAACCCCGGATGTCTCCTGTAACAAAGGGAGAAACAGCCAAACGTGCCTACCTGCCCCTTTCAGAAGGGCCTTTAATCTCCTACATCTCTTACGGAAAACAGAAAGCTTGGTCAGGGAACAAGGTCTGACTCTCGCATCTCTCAAGATTTCTTGCTGATGTGGGGAAAGACCTGCCAAGAACCCTTAGGCTATTAGGAAATATTTTTGAGTGCTAAAGGCTAAAGGTTGGTTATAAACGATAGACTTTCTGCCCTCTCCCAGGTGGCCTTTGAATTCCCTCCCTTTCCCCTGCCTCTGCCCTCTGCTGCTAAGCTCTGTACTCTAAGGATCCTCTGGGCAGATCAGACAAGGGAAACAAAGACTGACTCCGAGTTACTGGCAGTGGGTCCAAAGCTTTCTCTTCCTGTTAAGAAGAGGCTGGGTGAGGTAGTACAGGCTTGCAATCTCAGCATTCAGGAGGATGAGATGAAAGGATTACAAACTAAAGGCTAGCCTGGGCTACAGAGCAACATACTGTCTGAAGAACAAAAGACAACAAACAAACAAACAAACACTTTTAGGGTCCAGCAGTGGTTCACAAGCCTTTGGTCCTGGGAGGCAGAGCAGGTACATCTCTGAGTTCAAAGCCAGCCTGGTCTACAGAGTAAGTCCTAGGACAGCCTGGGCTACACAGAGGAACCCTGTCTCAAAAACAAACAAACAAACAACAAATAAAACCCCTTTAGAGGTGACACTCAGGGGGTTAAAACACTTGCCACAGGCCGGACAGTGGCAGCAAACACCTTTAATCCCAGCACTCAGAAGGCAGAGACAGGTTGATCTCTGTGAGTTTGAAAGCCAGCCTGGTCTACATATCAAGATCTAGGACAGCCAGGGCTACACAGACAAACCCTGTCTCAAAAACAAACAAACAAACAAACAAAAAAACCCACTTGGCACCAAGTTTATCAACCCGAGTTCTACCTCATGAATTCACATGGCAGAGGAGAAAACAACAAAAAGTTGACCTCTGACTTCTGACACAGTGTTCTGCAGTCCCCCCATAAACGAAGAGTGTAAGAAAAAAAAAATTTTTTTTTAATTAAAAAAAAAAAGTTAAAGTAAAAAAATAAACTAAAGGACTCTACATGCTAGCAGTGACCTGAGGAGTCAAGCCTGGGCCGGCTTCGTCAGAGAGGACTGAGGTTTGGTGTGAGGCACAGCAAAGACAAGCGGCATCTCTTACCAAGGCCGCCTATGGAGGAGGGAGAGGTTGGTGGCTGAATGGGCCCTGCTGATGACCCCACTGGCTGCAGCAGTCGGTGGGAAGACAGGAGTGAAGAAGGAAGGATGGGGAAGCGGGGGACCCATCCCCAGCCTGCCTTCAGAACGTCAGTGGGGCTAAGCAAGCACCCTTTTCATCACTGTCCCCTTCCTTTCTCCCCACTAGGTTTTGGAAGCCACTGAGATGTTCTCACAGCTCAGCAGAGGAAATGGCCTTTGGAGAATCATAAAGCAGCAAAAACAGACAAGAAATTATATCTTGTCAAGCCTTTAAGGAGGCTCCATAACGGCCCACCTTAAAAACTTGCAGACCCAGGTTCTTCGTGTGGAGGCGAGGCCACTTCCTCTCTCTCACTGCACCCCGGCCCAAGAATCGAGTTCCTCTTTCTTACACGGTTACTGCAAGGCAAGCGTTTCTGCAGGCCCTAGGCCAGGAGGCCAGAACTATTCCTGACTGCATGCAGGGGTCCTGCGTCCATTAACCTGCACCTTGGGCAAATGGAACTCTGGTCCCAGCCTCAGTTTCTCAATCCACAAACGGGGACGATGACAATGAGATGCACCCTCAGGGCTGCGTGAGGATCAAATGGGCCTTTTGGCACTCGGAGGCGCTGTGCAACAAGCGGGCATCCCGGGCTCCGGCCGACGCCACCGCCCGCCCCTTCCCGCAGACCCCCTCGAGGAACCTGCCGCCCACCGCGTCTCACCTGGTTTGGTACACAGGTAGGAGTAGAAGCCCTCCGACTTGAGCATGATGAGCAGCGAGCCCCAGCCCAGGAGGACTGCCGAGAAGAGGAGGTTCTCCAGCACAGCGGTGCAGGCCATCCACCAGCGGCGCCGATGGGCAGTGGCCAGGGTGGGCGCCATGGCGGTGCGGCAGCGCTGGCTCTGCAGACACCTGCGCACAGACCGCAGCCTCAGCGGCTGCTCCCCGGCCCCAGCGGCCCCTGCAGCCCCAGCTACGCGGCACGCCGCAGAAGCGGCCCCTCGCCCCGTCCCGGACCTGGGCCACCCCGACTGGCCGGTACCGCTACCTCCGACCCCAGCAGGGCCCCGCTGGCCAAGTGGAGACGCTTCTCCCTTACTTCACTCGGAGGTAAACTGAGGCATGGCACTGGGAAAGGGACCAACGCGTGCTCAAGGACGTGGAGGTGGTCCTGACACCAGGCGAGGCTGGCGGCCGGGGAGGGAGGCAGTCCGCGGGGAGGCCACCTGAGCAGGGGCACACCTGAGAGCTGCCACTCCCAGGGACCCTGACAGGCGCCCGCCCGCCCGCGCTCACGACCCTTCCCCGGAGCTCGCTCCTTCAACCACAAGATCAGCGCCGGGAGGCCCCGGAACGGCCCGCCCACGGCGCGCTCATTGGCGGGGCCGCACAGGAACTGCCGCGCCATTGGCCAGTGTCTAGGTCGCTAGGCGCTACCGCCACGCGAACCCCGCGTGGGAGAGGCGAAGCCGGTTCAAACCGGCGGCGCGAGCCGGGCGCGCGACCCCCGCGCCGGGCTGTCACCCCAGCGATCGGCCCGTTGCCGTGAGAGCGCGCCCCGCCCCGCCAGCGCTTCCCGTCCCTCTCCGCTCCGTGTCCTGCCCGTGAGCGGCTGCAGGTGCCCGCACCCTCGTCGGGGGCCCGGATCCCGGGAAGCCAGCTCACCCAGCTCCTCCCGGCGTGTGTCGGGCCCGCCCGGCGCCTTTTCTGCTCCCTTTATTTCCAGCCCTTTTATTCCTACCCCGAGATGAAAAACACTGCTGCCCGTTGATTGGCTGAGTGGGGCTGGAAACAGGCGCTGGCCAATCAGCGGCTACCCGGCCGCCCCCCGGCGAGCAGAAGCCGGTTCCGGCCGGACTTGGAGACAAACAAGAGGGATGGGGGGGCTGGGGGTCGGCTCGGGCGGGCCCCGCTCTGCCCGGCTGAGCTGGGGCGCCCCTCGACCCGGCGCCCCGCGGGCGTGGCCCCGCACGTCCCGGAGTCCTCCCGTGGGGTCCCCGGCCGGCGGTTCGGGGAGCCCCGCTCTGCGCCGAGCCGGGCGGGTCTGCCCGCGGCGTGGACCCCGTCCCCGCCCCGGGGGAACCGGCCGGACGCTGCGGCCCCCCTGTGCCGCGCCGCCCGGCCCGCTCCTCGGGCTTTGTGTCGGGGTTCCTGGGCGCTTTGCCCGGTTGCCGCATCCAGGCGCCGTCTAAGGGGTCGGGGCGCCCTGACCCCGGTCCCGGCATCGCCTACCGCACCCCTGCTAGGGCTGATGCGCCCGGCCCTTGCCCCAGGCGCCTCCTGCCCGGTCCTTAATCGGAACCGCTCAGGGACCCAGGCGCCCTGGTCCCCCACGTAGACGGCACCCTCCCCGTGCCGTGCCCGCTTTCCTCGGTGCCCTCGGAGGCCGGTCACCTTGCCCTGCCCTCCCCCTCTTGCAGATGTCTCGTTCCTGTGGCTGGCACTCTCCTCGCCACCTTCATGCTCTGGGCAGCCCCTAGTCTGAGAGGTGGCTTTGGAGAGCCTGGCGGGTCGCTAGGGGTCTGGAGGGCTCCGTCCTCTCTGTGCCATCGGCAGAGCGGCGCTGCCCAGGACCTGCCGGGGCGGGGGGTGGAGGCTCGGCGCCCCTCGGGGTCTCCGCGCTGCTGTCGGGCTGTGGGAGTTTCCCGCAGCCCGGCTCTGCCGCCCTCAGCGCGGTGCGCCCCCTGGTGCCCCGACCTTCGCTAGCCCTCTGGCCGGCGCATGCCCCACCGCGCCTGGTAGGCTGCCCGTGGGTTCCGAGCCTGAGGACCCACCCTCTCACGCCCTAAGCTGGACCTGTCACCAGCCAACATAGTCAGCCCTGCAGTCCTTTCCCCGAACCGTCTGCTTGAGGACTTCAGACATATCCTAAAATGTTTCCCCCTTTAAAATTGTGGCCCCTTTCCCCCTCAGATTTTAGTACCATCTGTTTGGGAGGGGGCTGTTGGAAAACGGTCTCGCTGTGTAGTTCAGGCTGTCCTGGAACTCGCTCTATAGACCAGGCTGGCCTCTGCCTCCTGGGCTCAAAGGTGTGTGGCACCATACTGAGCTAATAACGTCTAATGAAGGTAGACTGTGTGCTTAACTTTTCAACAGAAAGGGCAGATTATCTACTGAGTCTCTCTCCCCCCCCCTGCCCCGCCCCGCCCCCACTGCACCAGTATAACCTATCGTCCGGTTTATCTAATCTGCCCATTTCTGTGCCTGGGACACAGCCATTCATCCAGCAATCACTGCATCACATATCCACCCCACAGTGAATTGTGGGAAATGTAAACCTGACCTGCATAAACCTGACCTCTTGCTAGATCCTGTAGAAACTCTCTACCATTTGTTCTGCGAGATAAAGTTCAAGTTCCCTGAGTGACTCGCCCATGTTGCTTTCCACACAGCAGCCTTCCCCCCCCCCCCCCCCGTGGCCCTGAGAGCTCCATCCTGTCAAATCGCTGAGATGCTGGGTTTCCTCTTCCCTCTCTAGGGACCCTTCCTTGGGCAGTACTTCCTCTGGGAAGCCTTCCGTAGCCACGTTTTATAACGCCTTTTGCTCTTTGTCTGATTATAATATGTATCCCCATTTTCCACTGACTGTGAAGTCCTTGGGGGCAGACATGCCTTAGTCCTTGGTACTGCTGGCCTTGTTCATACTAAACTCAAAGCGGGTGCACACACAAGTTTGTGGAATGAAAACATGAACAAGTGAAAAGTACCATGTTGTAGGTCGAGAGATCACGGGGCACTAGAAGGGCGATGGTAGTATTGATGACAATCACCTTTGATTTCAGCTAAACCTCTACAACGTGATTTTGCAGTCTCTGTGTGGCTTCATCCACTCTGGACAGAGCTGTCATCCTTACGTCCCTGAAAAGCTGAAGATTTAGGCGGCCTTCCCGAAGTAACGAAACAAGAAGTGACGGTTTCTTCTTGTTCAGGTCCATCCAAATGAAACTTTTTTTGTGTTTTTAAAGTTAGGAGTGCCCAAACTCTTAGACTTCCAGGACCTTTGGCAAATCTTAATAAGCACCATAGCAGGAATTACCCATGGAGGCCAGAAGAGGGCATCAGGTGAACTGGAACTTGAGTTATCTGGCTGAATTGCCAAGGGATGGAAACCTCCTCAAAGGCAGCAAATGACACTTGTTTCTTTTCTCTCTCTCTCTCTCTCTCTCTCTCTCTCTCTCTCTTTTTCTCTCTTTCTCTCTCGATCTGGCTGTCCTGGAACTCTGTTTGTAAACCAGGATGGCTCTAGACTCACAGAGACCCGCCTGCCTCTGCCTCCAGAGTGCTGGGATTAAAGGTGAGTGCCACCACTGGCTAGTCCCCTCATAGTTTATAAGAACCCACATCCCCACACACTTGTTTTGGAAGACCATTTGGAGAGATTATATATATTCCTTAATGTCGTTATGGTGTCCCCAGCATCTCACTAAGGAAGTTATCTAACACACTCTTAACCCACAACATCAAACTGTGTAATGAAACAATTGGAAACAACTACCCAAGGTGGGGGTAGCAGCGGCTTGGGAGGCAGAGGCAGGCAGATGTCTGAGTCCGAGGCCAGCCTGCTTGAGGACAAAGTTCCGGGACACCAGGAGAAATCCAGGTGGGGTGGGTTATGATCTCCATTCTTGTCAGACAATGGAATGCTGTGTTATTTTGGTTTGAAGACAAAGTCCTTTGTGGCCTTGCTAGCCTGGCCTCCCTTGCTTTGTAGCAGATAACCTTGATCTTTTGCTCGTCCTGCCCCCCACTTCCTGGTGCTGAGATTAAGGCCATGGACCACCACATCCGGGTTTTTGTTTGCTATTGTTTCTTCATTGCCACCAAATTTTTGTGGAAAAGGCTTTCTATTCACTGATGTCTAAAGATAAAGCCAGGCATGGTACAAGTTTTTAATGCTGATACTCAGGAGGCAGAAGCAGGTGGATTTCTATGAGTTCCAGGAGAGTCAGTCAGGCTACATGGTGAGATCCTATCTCAAATAATAATAATAAAAATAATAAGAACATAATTTGTAAGACACACAGAAAGGGATGGTTTTCAACATGTATCCTGAGACAAAAAGTTCATTAAAAAACCAAAAAGGTGAAGCTGACCAAGGTGGTCTGGTAGATAAAGGTACTTGCTCAAAAGCCTCATGACCTGAGTTCCATCTCTGAAATCCACAAGGTAGCAAGAGAGAAGCCATACCCAGTAGCCCAGCAGCTGTCCTTTAAGCTCCCCAGAAGTGCATAGAAAAGGTACATGCACAGGAATGCAAGGTCACAAAGAGGCGGGGTGGAGAGATGGCTCGGTGGTCAAGAGTGCTTGTTGCTGTAGAGAACACAGGGCTTGATGCCCACACCCACAGGGTGCCTCACAGCCATCTATAACCCCACATCCAAGAGGTCCACTACCCTCTTCTGACCTCTTAGGGCACCAGGCACACACATGGGAACAGACACATGCAGACAAAACTCTCACCTACATAAATCTTAAATTTGGGGGTGAAGGTCTGAGACAAGGTTTCTCTGTGTAGCCCTGGCTGTCCCGAAACTCACTCTGTAGATTAGGCTGGCCTCAAACTAGGAAATCTACCTGCCTCTGCCTCTCAAATGCTGGGATCAAAGGTGTACACCACCACCGCCTGGCATTTGAAAAATTTTCTTAAGAAAAAAATGAGAAGTTGGGGTCAGTGATGTACTTTGGCTGCAGAGCTAATGCTCTGTAGGAGTGGGACCCTGGGCCCTCTCTCCAGCACCAGATGGAAAATACAGCAACAGAAGAGCAGACACTGCACTGTGCTCCCCAATCTGCTAGTTACGTCACACATGTCAGGTGCTAACATTTCAATTGTATTTTGTAAGTGTGTGTGTTTTGCATCCATGTGTGGCCTGTAAGGGACTTCATGCCTGGGGTCCTCAGAGGCCAGGTTGTAAGCTACCGTGTGGGTGCTGGGAATCAAACATACGTCTGCTGGAGAGCAGTCAGTGTTCTGACTAAGCTGTCTCTCCAAGAAACATGACCCATGTAGCGAGTATTTTTGAATAACATATTTAGCCGCTGTGCAGAAGCCAGGTATAAGAAGTATCTGTTTATCGGGGTGCACTTGGGGAGGCAGAGGCAGGCGGATCTCTGTGAGTTCGAGATTAGCCTGGTCGACAAAGTGAGTCCAGGACAGCCAGGGATACACAGAGAAACTGTCTCAAAAAACAAAAACAAGAACGGCTAATGAGATGGCTCAATGGTTAGAAACACTTGGGTCCCAGACCTGAGTTCCATCCCCAGACACATGGGGTGACAGGAAGGCACATA